ACGGGTTGGAACCGACTTGATGGCTCCTAACAACAACTTGACCTCTGGGGTGTGATGCTCGTTGCAATGGCTACACAGAACTCGGACAAAATTCATGACTAACAGGTTTGTTAAGGAAATTAATGACTTGTAATGAAGTACTAGGATTTATTATAAAGTTCTTTTAGGGCTGCTAATAAATGCTCAAAGGGCATGGCACTTTGCTCTGTGCCTCAACTCAGGCATTCAGCCCAAGCTTCCTGTGTCGGCAAACCTAACTCCCTGAATTAGGATCCTCACTCCATTCCAGTGAGCCTCAGCCTGAAGGCACTCAGCTCCCCTTCTTTAGCAATCCTGACTTCCCCAATTAAGTGCCTCCTGCACAGAAGCACTTAGCTTTATTTGAAATGCATCACTCACATTCTTCCATGCTCTGGCTCCTGGTTCTGCTGCTGCTCCTTGGATGTTGCAGCTGTGTATGGATCCAGGAGATGCATGGTGCAGGGATCTCAGGTCCAGGGAAGCATTCCATTTCTGGCTCTTTCTGGTAATGAAATCCCTCCTCCTGCTTCTCAGAGGGCTCATTTTATACACAGCAGGGAATCCTGTTCTCAATTACACACAGGTGAATCCTGTGTCTTCCCTCACCTTCTTGCCAGACATATGCAGGGAAGGATCATTTGGTGGGAGTTAGAAGCTTTGACTAAAAGAGCCATATTAAATATTTTACTGCCTCTTCAATATGTATTGAAATTCCAGAAAGAGAAAACAAAGCAGAGAAAGTATTTGTAGTAGTGACTGCCAAGAACTTCGCCAAATTAATGACAGGCACCAGGCCACAAATCCAGAAGCTCCGAGAATATCAAACACCAAAGGATGAATTTTTAAAATAAAAATAGGGTGAGGAAGGAACTGCTCCAAGGCAAATAAGCAGAAACCCCATCATACAGTCTTGTGAACTACACTAAAGAATTTTTACCATTTTCAAAGGATAAGAGTAGAGACTGATGGGCTTAAAGCAGGAGAAGCTTTTGAGAAGGAAGTGAAAATTGAGCTGCACCTAAAGATGGAAATTTTCATTGATGTCAAAGATTATACCAAAGAATTGGAGTTAACACCTTGTGTTGTGACCCTGGGAAAGCCTGTTTTGACCAGGGCCTATAGGCTCTAGAAGGAAATGATGAGAAATGAAGGTGGAAACAATGAACAAAACTCCAAACTCACTACTATCAGGTCAATTCTGACTCAGATGCTGTAGAACAGAGTAGAACTGCCTCTTCAGGTTTCTGAGACTAAACCTTTATGGGAATAAGATAAGTCTATGCTTATCTTTCTCCCCGAGAAACAGTAACACTCGTAAATTGTGGGATGGACTAAAAATGGCTTGATCTCTGCATTGATTCTCAAATGACCAATGTCTTTCCAGTCCACTCTATTCAGTTTTCATCTTAATTTTCAACGTTGTGCTTGCCTTCTTCAAATTTAGAGATACCATACTGCCCAAAGAGTAACTGATTCCATGTCCAGTGTTAGTTTTCTTTTATATCCATCCTGCTCTCTCCCCTATCAGAGCAGCATATAGCCAAGAAATAACACAAAAGAGGTGAGAAATGATGTCACGTAGGTCCACTCTAGACT